CGCGATAGTAATGCGTGATTGTTCTCTTCTTATATTTTCTCAGACTAATTACATAACAATTATAATACAGATATTATTATTTGTCTAAAAGTTTCCACCACCGATTTATTTTTAATGTAATGTAATTTTAAGTTTAGTCCAAAATGAGCTTTGCTCAATTAAGAAGTCTTTCAAAAGTTATTGTTCATTTTGAGGAGAGATAAATGGTAATCTAATCAAATAGCCTTTATAATTAATATAATTAAATAATTTTTTCTAATAAATATATTTGTATAGGGTAAAATTTATTTATTATAAATGATCGAATGGTCACGTGAAACCGAAGAACATGCACAAGATAAATCGAGTCACAACCAGTATCGGGAACAACAACTGTAATTGGCATCGGATGAACCACGAAGGGAGCACAATCAACGTGAGCGAATCGAATGTTTGTCACCGGATGGCGTTCAGTGAAGAATATTCCCTAGCATTAAATGGACAGCCGTTGCAAAAGAATATTTGCATTCATGGCTTGCCGTTACATATTTATCAATGCCCCCTTTATTATCATTTAAGAGGGGCTTGATCCTATAATCTTGTTTCCCTATGTATAACTATAAATAGTAGACTCAACAGCCATTGTAAGACAGGAAATTCTTGGCAAAACTTAGGTTACATTCTATTCTAAAGCTCAATAAAATACCTCTATTTGCTCTTTATATTGTTCTTATTTCTGTTTCAGGAGGCACTGCTCTCGGAGCCAAGCTTGTCATTTCCTTTGATTTTATCCGCTAAATTTTATTTTTATTCTTGTTTATTATCCATTTTGGATCAAATCAGTTCGCTTGTATATAAACCACGTAACAAATTCAGCTGTACCGTTTTACGAGTAAATAATACTACATTAAATATTAAAACGACATTCAGAACAAAACGGAGATGATAACAAGAATCAGAGTGACTAAGAGCTCGTTTGGATTAACTGATTTGAAGTAGTTGATAAGCATTAGGTGCTGAAAAGCACTTTTAAGTGTTGAAGCTGATTTAATAAATAAGCAGTTACGTGTTTGGATACAAGTGCTGAAATTGATAATAAGCTGCTGCAATGTTTGATAAAAAAGTGCTGATAAGCTCCTTTTATGTTAAAATGACTTAAATAACCTTAGAACTGTTTACATTTATAAGGGTGTAATTTCTTCAAAATATTAGATTCGAGATCGATTCAAATACAAAATATTCCATTTGTCATTTTATTTTAAATATAACTGTGATTAGATAAGATAATTTTTATGATAAGCATATAATCATAAGTTATATATTACTCCCCATGTTCCAGTTTTCGTGAACCTATTTTCTTTTTGGTCCGTTCGAAAATGAATGACCTATTTCTAAATTTGGAAACAATTTAGCTTAAACTTCCAACTCTACCCTTAATGAGAAGCATTTATAATCACAAAAATACTCTGGACCCCTTTTTGATTTGTTTAGGACCACAAATTCTAAAAGTCTTTATTTTTCTTAAACTCCATGCCCAGTCAAACCGGTTCTTATAAATTGGAACGGAGGGAGTAATAAATGCACAAAAAAATTTCAATAAACAAATAAACTTAATTATAGGACAAAATATTTGAAGAGAAAAAATAAACACTTAATACGTACTTTATACTATTCATCATGGAGGACACTAGTGTTTAAATAAATATAAATATGCAAAGAAATAAAGAATTTGCTTACCTCAAATATTAGTGAGAATTGCAGACTTGAAGATGCAGAGGGTTTAGGTTTGAATCAATACGTGAGGCAGTGAAGAAATAGGTTTGACGGAAGGATACGTGAGTTTTGTTTTAAAAAGGAATATTTTAGGGATAAAATAGTAAAAATTTTGGTCAAACTTAAAGTGCTTATAAGCTAAAAAAATCATAAGTTGGGGATGACCGACCTATGACTTTTGGCTTATAAGCACTTTGCTTATAAGTACTTTTAACTTTGGCAAACGCGTAGATAAGTCGAAAAGTGCTTATAAGCTAGTCAAACCAGCTTATAAGCTTAGCCAAACACCTCTAAGAACCGGAGATGGTAATACGTTTCGGAAATGATCTTAATAAATGTTGCGAACACACATTCTTATGACATATTTTACTCCAATAAGTATAAATTCATGTGCAATGCAAGAGATAAATAATCAAACATTGAATTAGACGATAAAATTGCATAAGTAACAGATTTTTAAGCAGTAAACTATACTTAATCGTTTCAATAAAAAATAAAATTCGCATTATATCAAATCAATAAATGTATGATACCTATTTGAGTATAAATTTGAATTTCTAAATTATAATTCATTAATATTATATATTCTTACCTTATTAAATTCATAATAAATATTCAATCATATCTACAATTAAATACCAAATGCGCCAAGTATGTAACCACTCCACCGAAAAAAAAAAAGGACAATTTAGGAAGAGCGTGATGATTCAAGCACTAAACGGAGCGTGATGATTCAAGCACTAAAAGGAGCGTGATATGGGTTCTCTAATGAATATTGTTGTAATCTGAGTTTATAGACAATTAATTATGTGTAAATTATAGCCGCCACTGTTGAGAATTTTGAATGGGAGGGAAAAAGAAGAGAAATTAAAATGGAAAAAGGCAATAATGGGCTAAATAGACTCCATAGGTGTAGCTCAACATGATTTTCTGTGTGCACAAAAGTCTTATCTATCTATATTTATATCTATTTATACTATATTAAAAGCACGAAGGTCCTTAGCGAAATGTCGTTCGACTTTTTTGCCCTTTAAAATAGCTTTTAGATTGAATAAAATTGTAAACTTATAATTTAATTAATTTACTACTACTATTTAGGACTAATTTGAAATCAATTAGAATTTAGGTTATTAAATATTTTCCTTATTTGAACTATGTACAAACTCCTAATATTTAGGATAATATGTAATATTAACTATCATACTTTTCCTTTTAATCTGTAAACACCAGCCTTAACATTAAATAGTTCTTTAATTTAGGAACAGAATATCGATTTAAACTTGAAATTGAATAACCATTTCCTTATAAGATTAATTACATCTCTACGACGATGCCGACTTAATGTTACGGTTGAAATCTATTAATAATAATTGCACCAACCTTTGTCCAAAAGTGAGTTCAAAATTAATACTATAGTGAAATAAATTAATTTTTTGTAACAAAATAAAGAATGACATAAGAAATAAGATAAAGAAAATAAATGTTGAAAACAATGTATGAAAGATCTAAAAATCAGAAATAAGAGATGACAATGAATTTCTTCTTATGTTTCATCTTTGTTGAGTATAAAAAATTTGGAAGCTAATCTCATCGATTTCAAATATTTTTTTTTAAATCAAATACATAGATTATAAGATAAGGGTATCTTACAATATATTTTTTTTATTTACATTGTATGTCGTTTTAAAAAAATCACTACTACTAACAACTGATATGATATTCGAATTTGAATTTAAATGCAATTTGAGTAGTTTATATTGAGGTTAAGTCAAGTATGATGTCAAAAATAAACTACTTGGTAATTTAAGATAATATATGCAATGTTATATAATAACAATCAACTAATTTAATATTTAATGATTCAAAGAACAAAATTTTTGTATACTTAGGGTATTAAGAATTAAAAATCTATGGCTAGAGATATCGATAAACTTAAAATGGAGTCATACTGAAATAAAGTTTTTCCGGCTAAAGAATCATTTAACTTTTTAGATAGCCGATTAAAGTAAATTTTAATTATGAATAATATCTTCACTTGCATCATTATAAAGAAAATCATTATTGAAATATATATAAAGTTTTATAAATTGGAATTTCAAAATAGAAATATTTTTGAAAGATAATATCATACCAAATAAGAGTTCAAGTCATAGTAAAAGAGTTACATCGTAATCAAAGAATCATTTATATTATGTCAACCTTTGTGCTTTGCCATAAATATGAGTTATTTTCGCTTTCTGGCTATTTTTAGGTTCCAATGACACCAATAAGAATAGTGCAAAAAAAAATTATCGCTACGAGATTTGAAAAAATATTAATCTTTTCTCATGTAATGTTTCTTAATTAATATCTAACGATTATCTATAATTATTTAGAAGGTTTAAATTTTAAGGTTATTAACATATAACTCAAATAACTCAGATATTTAACATGGTTAATGTCAAATATCAAAATGGAGTCATACTGGGAAAAAAAATCACTGGTTAAAGAACTTTTTAAATTTTTAGATAGCCAACTAAAATGAATTTTGAATTAAGGATAATATTTTCACTTATATTATTATAAAAGTAATTATTATTGAAAAATAAAGTTTTAGAAACTAAAATTTTAAAAAAGAAATATTTTTTAAGAGATATCAACACACCGAATAAGAGTTCAAGTAGTAGTAAACGAGTCAAGTCGTATCCAAAGAGTCATTCATAGTCTCAATATTTGAGTGTTTTGCCATAAATATAAGTTATTATTTTGCTTCCTGACTATTTTAAGGTTCCAATGACACCGACGGGAATGGTATCAGAAAAAAATAGAAGAAATGGTTAATTATTTTCATGTAGTGTTTTTTATTAATATCCAATGACTATCTATATTTATCGAGAAAGTTTAAATTTTAAGATTATTTACATATAATCCAAATAACTTCAATATTTGACATGATTAGTGTCCGCGCATCCGCGCGAGTGCTAATACTAATTTAGGATAATATGTAATATTAACTATCGTACTTCTCCTTTTAATCTGTACACACCAGCCTTAACATAAAATATTTCTTTAATATAGGTAAAAAATATGGATAAACTTGAAATTGAATAACGATTTCTTTTTTGGTAACTAACCTTTTGTATTAATCACCTTTTGAAACTTTACAAGGCCATAGCTAATCAAGCAAAATTAGTTATCTCAAAAGAAAACTCTATCTATCTTTCCTCACTACTACTATATACAAGGAGTTCTCATCTAACACAAAATTCTTAGACATCTAAAAATGTAAAACTGTGCAGAAACTCTTTTACTCTAGGGCCTGCTCTAACATAACAGATATAGACAATTTCCCGCACAATTATTTCCCAACTTCTAGTCTTCTTTTCAAACACTCTATTGTTCCTTTCCATCCATATAGCATATATACATTTTGCATATACCAATTTGAATATTTGAGCTTGTTGTGATTTCCCTTTAGCATTTTTGATAGCCCAGTCAACATGCTGATTCCATTCTTCTACTGTTTGCTGCCACTTTAACCATTTCTGCAGTCTCCTCCATATAGCTTTAGCAAAATCACATTCCACAAACAAATGCTCTCTAGTTTCCAGTTCTGCTTGACATAATGAGTAAGTGATGTCCACTGTTATGCCCCATCTCATTAGTCTATCTGTTGTTGCCAATCTTCCCTGCAATAGTAACCACATTATAAAGCTTGCTTTTGGCCTTGCATCATTCTTGAACATAAGACTCTTCCAGATTACTGGCCTCACATCAGGAAGTACCTTATAGTAGATAGTATTTGTCAAACTCCTTGTGGTCTTGTTTCCAGGTATCAAATGCAGCTTGTTCTTCAATTCCAATATCTTCCTAGTAATCCAACTTGCTTGTGCTGGAACTATTTTTTCCATCAGTGGCTTTCCTTTGATGTAATAAGCATGAATTCATCTAATCCGCATCTTGTCTTGTTTATGAGCAACATCCCAGCATGTCTTGATTTGAGCAGCTTGGTTCTATAGCTTTATGTTGATGATACCTATTCCACCCATAGACTTAGGCATACATACTCTTTCCCATGCTATCAGAGCTTTCTTAGTAACTGAATTACTACCCATACATAGCTTCTGCAATAGGCTTCTATAGTCTTCAATACCTTTGAAGGAATAGGGAATAGTTGAACCCAATATGCTTGCATACCAAACAGAACTGACTTCACTAATTGAGTTCTCCCTGCATATGATAGTTTCTTTGCTATCCATGAAGCGATTCTGACTGTAATTTTCTCTATCAAAGGCTGCCACTGCAATAGAGAAATCTTCTTTGTAGATAAAGGCACTCCCAGGTATTTAAAAGGCAGATTCTCATGGAAAAACCCCAAATGTTTCAGAATATTTTCCTTCTCTTCCTTCCTAACTCCTCCAAAATATACACAACTCTTCCCAAGATTAGCTTGCAGTCCTGAAGTTGCAGAGAAAATCCTGAAATAGTCATAGAGTGCAGTGATAGAAAGAAGGTTTCCTTTGGCAAACAGCAGTAGATCATCTGCAAAACTTAAGTGTGTGACACCTAGTTATTATAAAAGCACGAGTGTTCAGAAGCTAAATATTGATCTACCAAAATATCCCTAAAATATTGTTTGACTTTCATACCCATTACAAGTTAAAGTATTCTTACAATATTAATGTACAAAAAGGTAAAATTATTATTAAGGAATTTTAATTAGAATGAGTTCTGTGAAATAGAATCCTTGTTGAACTTCGACTATAATTGTGCCTGTCAAAGAGATAGAACCCTAAAAGTCCAAGTATGAATGCCTTCCACTAATTAAATACTCCCTATTGGATACTAGAATCTTATCCTAATATGAATTTGTATGGAATTCTAAAACCAATCAAGTTTCTTACCTATTGTTTAAGTTTCAAAACCATACCAATTCCACATGAATAAGGATATACTTTGAACCTCTTCTTACAGCTATAGAAAGGATTACCGTGCATTCCTCTTTTTACTTTGAACTATTCATCTCCGTTTCTATTGCTTTTATAAAAGGTTTCGATTGTCGTTGTATTTTATGTTTTCTAATACGGCAGAAATTCTCGTGTGTATGTTTCATGTGCACTTGCATAGGCAGAGATACTTAATTGGAAGGTATATATGGAGTTCGACCATAATTTTTAATTAACAAAATCTATGTATAACTGATTGTCTTTCCATGAATTTGATTTCTTAATAAACGGAGGTTTGTTGCTCTTTCTGGATGACTGCAAGGTATGAATAAACCAATGGTAACGATAATCTTTTTGAAACAAAAGTAATACATCGAAACCATTAAGGTGAGAAAGAGATACGTGGAAAAACAAGAGAAAAGCAATAAGCAAGGGGTCCGAAGATTGAAGTCTTTTTCTTTATTTTTTTAGACTTATCAAATCTTACGTTACTGTTTGTACGCGAAGCTTAAACATTTTCATCTCTATTTGGGCGTTCTTCATATGTATTGATCTAACACTTATATAGATTTATAAAAAGAATGTATCATGTATATTCTAAATCATGTTATATTAGATTATAAGATTAAGTGCAATCTGTATGCTTCTGTATTAATATATTAAGGCAGTAACCCAAAAATTTCAGTAACCCAAAAATTTTGTTGTGTATCTCAAAATTATCATGTAGACCAAATATTCACTTAGTGACAAAAAAAATATATATGTGCTGACCACTGAGTTTCTTATCATAATGACCATCTAAAGTTGGATTTTCAGTTGTAGTTTTTAGTTTTGGGATCCAATAGTTGTATTGGGAAAAAACTGAATTTATATTGAAGGTGACGTGACATGACACGTGGACTGGTCAAATGGTCAAAACATGATGATCAATTGAGGGGCACGGGCGATATCAGATACGAAAAGAAGAGAGTTAAATAGGCACGAGATGCTATTCAAATGATACGAGTCTCGTATCTATTTAACTTAATTAAAGCCAGGAGGTCAGAAGGAAATGAAGATATGAATCTGATAGCATAAAGGAGTCTAAATTCAGTATTAAATGTCAAATACGTTAGCGAATCAGCATTGAATAGGAATGATTGTGTAACGTTTCATTTAATGTCATTTAATGCTCATAATTGCCTCTTTAATACGGAGACATTATACCTTTTTCTAGAAAAATCAACTATAAAAGGAGGAGATCTCAGCATTTGTAAGGACACGAAATATCATTGAGATTACATTGAAATACAAACTTATTTACTGCTTTCTTATTCTCAAAAATTTCTTATTCTTTTTGTCTCCTGATTATCAGTAACCCGATTTTTTCTCTTAATTTCTAGTTTTAACCGAAATTCTATTTTTTGGTAAACAAATTGGTTCCGTTACCGGGAATCTGATAATCAAGCATATCTCAATCTAATTTTCTTGATTGCATCAATCATGTCGAACAACAATGACAACATTCAAGGAAACCCAGAAATTCAGACAGTCCAACAACTTCAGGGAGATTCCCCACAAGGCTCTCCACAAGGTTCTCCACGAGGTTCCCCACGACGATCTCGTGAAGGCACTCCTGATGGATCTTATACAGATGGACAGGCTCAATTCGAAAACGTTGAAACCATGAATGAGGCTTTGCAAAAACTTATTGCCTCTCAAGTCAATAACGCTCTCCAAGCTTTTGTTCGCCAATTGCCTGCTGTTCCACCCACATCTGCTCCAAACAACAACACTTTGGAGAATCCTCGTTCAGGGTTGATTAATTCTGGCAGCGGTGGAACCCCTAGTGAAACACAAGAGAGAGATCCAGGTAATCCAGTTAATTCTGATTTACAAAGTCTAGTACTAACCTTGCAGAAACAGCTCAAGGAGCAAAATGAACGCATAGAACAAATACCTGGAGTACCGCCCGTGATCAAGGGTGTGGATATAGATAAATATTCCCAACAACCATGGAAGCCAAGCGCTGCTCCCCTTCCAATTCCAAAGAAGTTTAAGATGCCTGATATTCCAAAGTATGATGGTACATCAGACCCACGAGATCACGTTACTGCATTCACAACAGGTGTCAAGGGCAATGATTTGACTAAGCAAGAAATCGAGTCGGTCTTGGTCAAAAAATTCGGTGAAACACTCACTAAAGGAGCCCTAACATGGTATTCTCTTTTACCTGAAAATTCTATAAATTCGTTTGCTGAGCTTGCAGATTTATTTATCAAAGCACACTCGGGAGCTCAAAAAGTTGAAAAGCGAATGGAAGATATCTTCAAAATCAAGCAAGGAGACTCAGAGTTGCTTAGAGAGTTCGTAGATAGATTTCAACGGGAAAGAATGACGCTGCCACGAGTACCTGACAATTGGGCAGCCATAGCCTTTGCTAGTAATTTGAATGAGAAGAGTTCAGAAGCCACGAGGCGACTCAAAGAAAGCCTTCGAGAATTCCCAGCAACAACGTGGAGTGATGTCTACAACAGATACAGCACAAAGATGAGGATTGAAGAAGACATTATTTTACGACATAAAACAGAAGAAAAGGTAAGCTCAAGGCGTATTGAAAATGAAAAGAGATCCGGTAAAAACAGGTACGAGCCATACATGGGACCTGCGGGAAAGGACTCACGGTCAAGACAAGATAATCAAAGGTACGATCACAGACCTAGGAACAGGGAATCAGGCTCCTCATCAAGGTTTGGGAATGATCGAAACACACGCGGGTCACGAGATGATGATGGAAGTTTGAAGGCAAGGTTTGGTGGTTATAATTTCAACGTCAGTACCTCTGAGCTCGTGGCTGTTTTGAGGAGCATGGGAGATAAGGTACGGTGGCCAAAGGAGATGCGGTCAAATCCGAATAGGCGGAATCCTGATCATTGGTGCGAATTTCACAATGATCATGGGCATAAGACTTCAGATTGTAGGTTCTGCAAGGTGAAGTTGATCATTTTTTGAAGCAAGGGTATCTTACTGAGTTATTTAGTGAGAAAGGTAAGCAAGCCCACATGAAAAATAGGCAAGAACCACCAAAGCCCCCATCACCCAAGAGAACCGTGAATGTTATAAGTGGGGGAGAGGATATTTATGGAGTAACATATACGGCTTCAAATAAAGTTTCCAAAGTAACAATCACGCATGGGAAGCGAGTGCGACAGACCTTAGAAGATGAAAGTATCACTTTTGATGATGCAGATACAGAAGGAGTAATCACCCCCACAACAATGCACTGGTAATATCTTTACTTGTACATGACACTAATGTAAAGCGAGTTTTGATTGATCCAGGAAGTTCCGTAAATATTATACTACTAAGGGTATTACGTGAAATGCAAGCTGAAGACAAAATGATACCAAAGGCGCATGCCTTGTCCGGGTTCGACAATTCAAGTGTAGTAACAAAAGGAGAGGTAGTTCTAACAACTTTTGCTGCAGGTGTTGTTAAAGAAACTAAATTTCAGATAGTAGATATGGAAATGGCTTATAATATGATCATGGGGAGACATTGGATCCATGATATGGATACTGTCCCATCAACTCTACATCAAGTTATTAAATTCCCATCTCCATGGGGAATATGCCAAATCAGAGGTGATCAACAAACATCTAGGAGCATCAATTTCGTTGCAGATTCAATTGTTAATGGTGGAGACAAATAGCAATTACAGAATTTAGGTGAGGGTAACATGGAAACAACCTCACCTGAGCAGAAGCAAACAGAACTGGATTCAAGACCTGATACCATTCAAGAACCGGAGGAGAATGATAACATCAAAACAATGATAGAAGAGCTAGAGGCTGTGGTGTTATTTATACATTGGCCCGAGAGAAAAGTGTACATAGGAGCTAATCTTAGCCCGTAGGTAAAACGTAAGTTAATTGAATTTTTAAAAGCTAATGCAGACTGTTTTGCTTGGTCCCATATAGACATGA